TTCTCGAACCTGATCTTCTCCTACAGTGCGCAGTTCTGCATTCAAGATCACCATTAAGGAAGTGTCCTGAAGATCACTTACGCTTCATGGTTATTACTAATTTTCTCTGGGGGTTGCCCAGAGTTCACTGAGTGGGCCAGTCACCTCTCAAGTCTCAAATCCTAAACAATTTCAGAAACAGCTACAGAAGTGCCTTGTACTGGGTTTATATCCCATCCTAGCAGACCTAGAGTAAATCTAGAGGTCCTTAGAGCACAGAACACTAAAGACAGGAACTATGATTAGATTATTCTGCAAAAGCCTCCACAGCCCAAGTGGCAGGAGTCCAGAAATTCCATATGAAACAAGTATTTTGATGGCATGAATTTGATTTGATATAGCTATACTACTGGAGTACTTAAGTGTTCCACAGATAAAAATTATTACCCACTTCTCTTACACCAGGTGAGAAGTTATTTAGCAGAACAGATTTTGTATTTGTTTCAGATCCAAAATTTGTCTGAAAAATTGAAATACTCTGGTTTCAAAAATAATCAAAATTTGAGACTATTTAGTTTCTGGGTTTACGTGGCTTTAGTATATTCTTATCTGAAAATCTTCAAAACTTTGCATAAATTTATGAAGCAGATCCATTGTTTGGTGTAGTTTAAACTGAATAATCTCTGTTAAAAGAGAGTTCAGCAGCTTTTGTGAAGAAATTTGAAATCTGGTACAATGCTTGCACAAGGAACAGTTTATCATGAAATTTTAAGTAGCTAATCATTCCTTGTCCAATCCAATGAAAGAATTTAGAGAAAATGCCACTGTAGAAACTTATGAAATGTATATATTTAAAATTGGGTCATCCTGTCTTATGTAAGTTTGGAAGTACAGCTTCAAATTCTTTAGCTTTTCCTTAGTTTTTAAGTTCCGTAAAGTAAATTCTGTATTCACTATAAATACTAAAATATGTTTATGAAATTTATTTCAAAATCGTTTTCACCAGAAATATTTACAAAAATGTTCAGATACCTTCTCACATATGTCTCCCAGTGCTCCTGCCAGAACTCTATACGCACATGTCTTTCCCCCAAAAGGCGCTCCAACTATCATAAAGCCATGACGCACAATCATCATCTCATATATCTGCAGGATCTTCATAGTAAATACGTCGGTCATTTGCAAATTCATAGCATCACAGTTTGTTTTGATGGCTTCCAATAGGTCATTGTAGTCTGGTTTTGGTAGCTTCACACCAGGAAACAAATCAGAAGTAATACCCTATCCAAACAATTAATTGGAAAGTACAGTTATTTTCACAGTAATTTGGTTTGAAACTCATGCAATCAACCCTTTGTTGAAACTAGGCAGACTAATATCTATTTTGATTAAAATAAAATAATTATGAATTTCACATGTCACCCTTGTATGAGCCAAAATACTGACTTTGCAATTTATTATTGATATGTACTTCATGTATCTTTTTCATGTTTACCTGGGCACACAGAGAAGCAATTAACTATCTAAGCATGTTCTTTCCTGATAAATATTAGCTTTTATTGAACTAGTTTATAAAGATTACAGTTAGAAAGTAGAGAAAGCATTCACCTTTTTTACTTAAGTGAAAAATAATTAACTGAAATCTAAACCTAAAAGCAAGATCCTGCAGTTTTGCTTACAACAAAACAAGAAAGATACAGAATAAACTGAAGACATAACAAACAAGAAAAAGAATCTCTGGGCTATCATTTCAATTACACAAACCTGCAGTATCAACTTGGAAAGCAAGCAAAAATTACTGAAAAATTATTTGACCGCAATTATTAGTGACCTTAGAATCACATTATTTTGACATTTTTCCTGTTACTATCTATGTTGGTTTCCTTCTACTGTGTGCCTTGGTTTTCTTTTAGCACTGTTAGTTTCCACTGTTAACATGTTAATGAGCATCCCATATCCTGACCTTAAAGTGTTTGTTTTATTAAAGTGTATTAAAATATATGTTTATCATTCTGTGCTGTGAGTATGTTTTACAATTGGCTATGACAAAAACAGGGCTTTTGCAATGAAAATAATCATATTTCACAAGTACAAATATCAAGCTATGTTCAAGGTGAACAGCTTTTCTTGTCTGAAACACATTTGATGTAAAATTTCCATTGGTCATTCATCTCCTCCACTTTTTCTCCACACTCTTTGTTAAAGAATTAAAGATTTACACACTTGTGCTAGAATGTGGTCTTTCTATACCTACTAGATTTTATACCTATGATAATGAGAGAAAAAAACCCCAAAACTATTAATCATTTGCTTCTTACAAAATGGATGATGTAAATATGGTGAAATGGAAGAATACCATATTAAAAGAAACTATTTAGTACTACAGCATAAGTTGCACTGCTGGACAAAAGAGTTTTGTCCACAACAGAGCAGGATCAATTTTATAAACAAATTCATTAATAGGGCCCCTAAGCAACATACATTTGTTATTCTATGAAAGTGAAAAATTTATAGTATTAATTCATAAATATACTTAATTTCTGTACATTAAATCCTTAAAATTGCTATTCTTAAAGACTGAAACTTAGAGTGAAGATGCTTCTGTTTTCCCAATTTTTCTAACTTTATCTCCACCATTTCAAAAATTATGAAAATACAAAATCTCACTTCATATTTATGACTTGTTTGCAGGAAAAAGTGTGTGGGCAGAGTTTTAATTAGATTAGAGGAACAGTGGGCAGAAACATATATTCAGTTTCTTATTCATTACATTTTCATGTAACTTCGGGCAAGGCAATTACCTTTCTGTGCTTCAGATTTCTAAGGCTTTGTCTTAAAATTCCTAAAGGAAAGAGCTTCCATATTAACTTTCATGCTCTCATGGGTGTTTTCTTACATAAATTATCTCATTTTATTCCATTATAAAATTACACAAAAATAAGCATTACGCACTGAAAATATAATTGCAACTAGTATGACTGCTAAAATATACCTTTTACTATCCAAAAGAACTCATGAGAGTTTTTGATGTGGTGAGTGTGTAATTGCACACAAATTCCCATAGCTGTATAAAAGAAATTTTTTGTCCACATAATATCTTTCCACTAATGTTTAAAAAGGTACACATGAAAGACAACGTTTTCAGTTTCCAAACATCTATATACAACAGCCCAGATCCTTTCTTCTTTTTCCAACAGGACACAGAAAGCTCATAGCTACCAAAGATGATGCAAACTTTTCCTAATGAAGTTGACAGCTCACATTTGCATTGGGCATGTCTGGTTCAATCAGAGGTATATTAAAGATGCCTATCCTGCAGCAACAGATAAGAAGTCCAATCCAAAGGACACATACTAAGACAAAGACTGACTGTGTTAGTGCATCCTGCAAATTAGGGGACCAAGTTACAGATAATTTTCTCAAGCTCAGTTCCATGCTGTGATCCACTCAGGACAAGAATGAGTCTGGGCCATTTAGTCTATGTACTATTTTGCACGTTTTAAATGAAAATCTAAATTTTCTCTCATAAAAAGGAGACTATTAGTACCTACCTATTTCATAAGAATACTCATAAAGTACTCTGAAATCTTGAATACATAATATATAAAAATAGTATCTTATCATTTCAAGCAGTAGACTTGGCAGGAACTTTCATTAGTCTGAACTATCAAAACCGGAATGCTCACTATATTTGCTAGGAAGAAACATTTAAGACTAAGTTTTAAAATAATTACAGGCTAGATTAAAAAAGTGTTTGGTCCGTCTCTCTGATAAACCTGTTATATACTATTTTTATCAATTAGTATTTTTAGTGAGCTCTTTACATTACTAAAAATCTGTATGTTTTCTACCTCAAAAAGTGGTAAATCATGAGACAAGAATTTAGGCAGGTTGACATCTGTAATGGACCTAAGGAGCAAAATTTCTTCATCTTCCAATGGATATTTCAGCTAAAAAATATAAAAAATAGTGTTAGTTAATTTTTTATATTTTCAAAAAACAGATGTTAAACTTGCCTATTTACTGAACAGTTCCTGTTGTACATCTATGTAATTATTTTGGCAGGTTCAGGTCCACTGATAACAACATATGTTCTGGATGTATGTCTATACATTCATATCAAGTTGTTTGCAGTAGGTTTCTATAGTGGGACAATTTCACTTTAGTTTATGCCCAGTGATGGGTGTTACTATAAATTTGATATGACATTTTTCCTAAACTGTTGATTTTTTCTTTTTCTTCCTAAGAAGGATAGTTTTCCCTACTTTGACATAAAACTTCTGCCTTCAGCAAAGGGGAAATTCTAAAAGCTTGCATATAGCTCTCTCTCCCAGGAAAAAAAAAAAGAAAAAACCCCAAAAAATCCACATGCATCTTTTACCACAATATATAGTTTAGTTACTGATTTTGGGGTTTGTAGGGTTTGGGTTTTTTTATAGTAGGATTATAGGTTGAAAAAAAATTAGAATGGAAGAGAATTATAAATTATACCTAAATAAAAAAATAACTGAAATAATAAAAGAGCTTGGTTTCTTAATAAAACCTATTCATTCATTGACAAGGCAAGCTAAAAGAAAATACTACATTTTTCATAAAGATAAAAGAGTGATCAAAGTCACACATGGCAGATATTAGCCAGCACGTTACTGGAAAGTGTTTACGTACTATGGCAAAGGCATCTGAACCTGGTAGGAAAAGCAGAGCAAAGGAGCGACCAACATGCCAAACAACTCAGTAAACTTGCATTTACCTAGAATTGAAAGATAATCAGCACACTTAATAGGCACGTCATTCAGTGACAGTGGCGTGATGAATGGCCCAGTAGCTTTATCTCTTCTTGACTTTCCTCAGTTTATGCCCTAATACATACTCTTTTCATTTTCACAGGTATCACAGAATGAAATTTTAAACAGCTACTTGCCATTATGTAGAATAGTGTACCTTTTCTTACAAAAGAGACACATTACTAAGTTATTGGATGACAAAGAAAATTCAGAAAATCATTTACCTTCAGGTTGCCAGCAGCAGTGAGTACTGACTTCACAGCTCTCATTCCATAATCATAATGGTGCTGAGATGACAACTGCTCTGAACACAGACGATACGTAGCTACAATCTTTACAGACAGAGGTCGAGCAGTGACAAAACCACAAGAATACAGAACAATCTCTGCAATCATGGCATAATCAGGAACCATCATAGCTACTGTTCTGAAGAGAGCCTATTAAACATATAGATGAAAAAACACATCAGAAAAAATTATACATTATACAAATTTTTCTACAATTACATAAAAGACTTTTTTTTTCGTTATTTCATTAATACAGTCACAGCTAAGTAAGTTTAACTATCACGATTATGACTACAACATATTCATCACTTTCCAAAAATGCTTAGAAATACTTTATTTTCCATTGTGATAATTCATGGTAGTAGGTCATCTTCATTCAAGATTAAGAACAAAAACACATAAAACACCACAAGCTCTAGAAGGAATAGGAAAGTGCAATACAACTACCATAAATAAGTTGATGCTATCAGACTCCTACTAGCAATGTTTAGCTGCAGCCTATGCTTCAATTTTACCATTGTTCTACCAAACAAGCATCAGAATACTTTCAAACATACAAAACGTCCACTATTTTTCATATTATACCAGAAAGTTTTTTAAATTGTCTTCTTTCATCTATAAAGTAGTATTTTTGAATCCTGTATTCATACCGTGTTAGTGAGCAAACTTCCCAGACAATTCTGGGAAATATTTACAAAGACTGTACTTTTCTTCATTTTTATCAATTTATCAATATATTTGCTCAGATTTCCTTTTCTTTCTATGGACACAGGACAAATTGTTTTTTAAAACTTTCTTTTTTTTTTTTATCCTGAGAGTCAGACCTTGAATCAAGCAACCATTTCCTGATGTTTTAAAATTTAGTTTATTCTTATTTTTCAGTCTAATTATTGTTTTTAATTTCTTCTTCTTCTGAGATGATGATTTTTACTGTAGTGTAATAAAAACCTGAAGTTAACCAATAGTAAGTATTCTTAATAATGTCTATATTTGACAAAAAGTGATTTCTTTTTTAGTTTCTCTATTAGCTAGTAAAAGTAATAAAATGACAAGTGTTATAATACCTTAAGATTATCAGGAAGCTCCGAGCGCCCAGCATAACCAGGATTCATGGTAATGAATACAGCACATGTAGGGTTCAGTTTTAGTTCAGTTCCTTCAAATACTATTAAATAAGATCCAGAATTAATGCCTATGAAGAAATAAAAACTAATGTCATTGCTGGGCAGGTTCTGTTGTATCTTTATTCTTTGTCGTTATCTAAGTGAAAGATATGATTAAAATAACAGGTTACCTCTTTGGATAGTAAAAATCTGCTGAGCAACCACAGAGAGTACTTCCAAATCAATCCTGTTGAATTCATCAAAGCAAGCCCATGCCCCACAAGACAACAAACCCTGCAAAATACAGGCATATGACTAATAGGTAACTACTTATTTTGGACATGCCAATCAAAATATTTCTGCAATAAGAAAAAAGATTTAATATGCAAAGAAAGGACTTCTGTACACAATCCAGATCACTAATTTCTAAAAAAAAATCACTCCAGATAGAATTTGTTTCAAAAAGAATTACAGAAATTTAAAAACTAAGTTTGCTTGTAAAAAAAGAAAAAAAAATTAAGACAGAAAATCTGTACAAACTAATCCAAAATCCTAATTCTTCTGTGATATGTACAGTGCCTATCAAATACACACATTTTGAATGTTCTACCTTTATATTCAGTATTTTACAGCTTGACAAGGGGGTAGATCTCAGCACTAAACAAGACTCAAAAAACTCTACTCTTCTTTTGCAACTATACTAATAGGGTTCACAGTGAAAAAAGGCAACGTAAGGAATTCCTCACCGCTAAAACTAACTGCTTGGTCATGACATCTTATGGCATACCATGTTATTTAAAATGCAGCTAAAGAATAATTCTCTTTTCCTACAGTTCTGGTTAATTCATAAGTCTTTTCTGAGATATGCTTCCTAAATGCTACTGTACCATCTCTGCAGCACCAGTAGCTGACATGGCATCTCATGTTTTTTTAACAGTAATTCTGAAATTCCCATTTAAGACATAGAATTTTGCTTTCACCATTCTAAATAAAACCTCTTAATTTAGCTTATTTTTATGAACTTCCATCATGCTGAATTTTGAAGACAAATCACATCATTCCAATGCTACCTCTGACTCAGAAGGTAAGAATAATGCCAGGGAGGAAAGCATATTAGCTCTATTTTTGTATCATTCCAGTCCAAATCAGCACACTGGGCTAAAAGACACAGAAGTCCATTCAGGATAGATTTTCATAATACAGATCTGTCTACTCAGGCTAATATTAAAATGAGTATCTGCTTGATTTGTATAATATAATGACTCTTACCAGCTTATTTAGAGTTTAGATTAAACCTCAAGTCCCCTAAAATTTGCAATCAGCTATTAAAAATTTACTCATTGAGATGGCATCTATGTTGCCTGTTTAAAGCAAATAAAATCATTATGGTATATTTCATTTTCAAAGCACAGAAAAAACATTTTGGTATCTCAGTTAAATTCTTCCTTATGGTACGATCTATCTGCACAATACTAGCACCCTGGAAGCGGAGAAAGATACATTTACAATACCTTAAGACCACTTCAAGTGCCAAAATAATTAAAGGGCTTTAATATAATTGAGAATATGACCCTCAAGATTTATCCAAACCTTAAAAAATTTTCCCAAGGCAAGGTAATCCAATCCATCAGAACAATTGAAAACCACACACTGTTTTGCTACAGCCTTTGCTAAATCTTTTGTAGTTTCTGTTTTTCCAGTTCCAGCAGGACCTTCAGGGGCACCTCCAAGATGTAGGTGTAGTGCACTAAATAGGGTTCTAAAAATAAAATAATAAAGAAAAAATAAATTGTATTAATTTTTATGCTATTTTTCCAGTTGCTCTAACTTTTAACAGAAACTTTTAAAAATTTGTGTCTGCATTTTCCTATGATGGTACAGTGTACTTGCTTCTGGCCAGCTGTAGTTTAAAAATGTGTAGTAATGTATGAGTCTACTAGAAGTTCACAATAAAGAATAGCTTACTTTCCACTTTCTAAATCTAAATCCTCCTGTAATTTATCACTAATTATAGTGTCACAAAAGATTAATTTTATCACAAATTTAAATTAAAATATTCATACAGGACCAATTCTATTCCACTGAAAGAAATGTATCCTATTCTAATTATGCCTAATAGAACATAAAAAATACAATTCTGGAGTAATCTATACTCAGGACTAACTAAAATATCTCAAATAAATTCTTGCTAATATAGTACATTTAGTAACTTGCAGATTTACCTGTAGCATCTGTCTGTAAGTGGAGTAATAACCAGCCTAGGGGTATTGCCAAGATATTCATATCCATACCTCAGTCCAGCATTGATCATCTTTGTTTGCAGATGCCCTTCCTAAGAAACAAGGCATTAATTTTATAGATTAAATAAATAATTTTTAAAAACCGCACAACCATCCACAACTCAACACTATTTCTCAAGGTCCTAAACAGGCCTAATGCTGTTAGAAACAACTACATGGCAGACTACTGATTGCACTGAGACACTAGTTTCAATGTGATGCAGACAGAAATTAATACACACTGAAAGTATTGACGCAAAAAGACCATTTTTTACATTAACTGTTATCTAAAAAAAGATCCTACTAACCATTTGGCAGAGTAGAACTGTCTTGTATAGCTAGTTAGAAAGTTAACAGACTTTCTAAAAGGTAAACAGAAGTAATCATGAACAATAGCCGTAGGTATGGTCAATCTGATAACTCTGATATGGCAATGTGTTATCCCTACACATACTTTTTTGTTTTAATTTCACATGCAATGTCTTCTGTATTACAAGAAATCTTGTCCTGATGAATGTAAAATATCATATCCTACCACTATCCAGTATAAACATTGTTATTTTGTCAACAAGTGTAATGCACAAATAAAATAATATTATTAAGTCAGATTAAAACCTCTAACTGAAAATTGTCATCCCTATAGCATTATCTATCCTGCAGAATCAGAAAACCAAAATACAATCTCTGAGAGAACAAATTTTCTCTGTAACACTGCCCCCCCGCCCCCCCCCCAAATTCAGC